CATTTCAAAACATGTTTGTGATAATTTTTTCACAAAACCATCGCCAACTAGAAATGTTTTACTTGTTCTTCACTAATTTTTATTGCTAATCAACATTTTTTTGTAGTGATTGATCTGCCAATACTTACCAAACATAAGTAACCAAGTCTATGTTGATTCGACAAGATTTAGAACCTCAATAAAAACTTAGCAAATAATGATTGATAACACTATCTTGATTGATCAATTCAAGAATACAAAAATGCATTCTTAAGCTAAGGATACGCAATATTGGCAAAAATTCTAACAAAGTTTACTTAAAATTCATCAAAGGTGTTTTTTCCTGTTACATAAGGATGCTTAAATAATTAAATATAAAAGTTGACTGTTACAAAAAATAAAATCCTAAACCTATTTGTACATAAATCCAATCAAAACTCAATAAGGGCTAATTAACCTGGTCTAGATTAAATATGTACTAATTAAATATGAATTTCTAAATAAACATTGATTCATAACAAATATGGACTCCTAAATAAACATGAATCCACATTAAATAATAATCCTTATACAATAAGGATAAAATAAAATATCTAAAATAAATATATAAAGTTGAAATATTTAACCTATGTTGATTTAGCTGGAAAAATGGGCTTTAAAAATGGACCACAGTTTTATGTCAAGCTCTGTGTGTTGAAGAAACTCATTCCTGAGTTTAAACCATTATAAGAAAACACTAAAAAAGGTGGAGGTGACGCTATTTATAGATTGTTAACCTTCCCACATTTAAATATGTACACAGACTGTTGTTCGCCGTACGTTCATTCTCATTGTGTTTTTATCGTCCCTTGTTTGCTTTGTCTTCGTGCTTCTTCGTTTCCCCTTGTTCCATGACCCTTTGCCGTTATATGTTTTCTTTTTTATCTCCCTTCCTAGGTTTGTTTTGTGTCCTCAAACAACACCTTTTGATTATTTATTTAATTGCTTTTTTGCCATTATGTTCTATTGCTAGGTTGCATTTGTGTCCCTGCTCTCTAGTTTTTCCTCTCATTCAATATCTCTTTTCATCTCCTGGCGCTATTTGTCAGAGCGCATTTAATGCTCTAGAGTGTGCTGCTCTTTCATGATTTCTTTCCTTTTCTTTTCTTCTCTCAAAACTCAAGATCAAATCAAATCAATCATCCAACCACTTAAATAAATCACATTTAAAGAAGAGTTCGTAGACCATATAATTGTCAAAAAATAAGCAAAATATTAACAAAGGAGAGAGTTGATGAAAAAAAATCTCAAAAAAATAAAAAAATTTATCCCATTTTTTCATAAAATAAGCAAAAGAGAGAGAAGCTGACGAGACTCACATTCAAAGAAAGAGAGAGATAGAGAGATAGAGGGAAAGAGTTGATGAAGAGGAAAACCCTAACTAAGATCATCAATAGAAAGAATAATAGAAGGGCGAGCAGTAGCAGCACCAAAATAAAAAAGGCATGGCCAGCACCACCAAATCCAATCATCTTCTTCCACTTTAACGGTAACATCATCTTGCTTCCAAAACCTCCTGGACTCCAACTTAATCGACCCTCCACTGCTGGCCGAGGACGTTGATGAAAAAATTTCATCCTCGATCAGGATTTCTTTGGTAATTTTTGTTTCATTTTTTTGGATAATACACGAATATGAACTTAATAATAATGTCTTTCTTCTTAATGTTTTATGTTTTTGATAATAGGTTTCGGGTTTTAGTTAGGGATTTGTTGGAAATTGAACGAGTAATTGGATACTCAATTTGATTTCTTTGAGTTTTAAATCAAAATGCAATCTCTTTTTTTTATGTCAATGAATTTGTACATGCAATCTATAAGTATTGTACAAAATGATCAAAATGTAATCGACAGTTCTGTTTACAACAAGGTGATGCTTTCAAAAGTATTTTATTATTTATAGATTAACACCTGCTTGGAAATTGAAATGAATTTTTAGATGTCTTAATTGATTTACCATAGGAAAACATTTCAAGTCCTAAATTACCAAAGAAACTAAACATGTCAAAGTAAAAAAGCTTCGACAAGGTAAGATGAATTATTTTATATTATGCTGAAATCTTGATTGATGTTTCAATTGGCTTCATATTACATAATTGATAGTATTGTTGATAGAATTTCAAACTGCATGGTATTAGCTGCTAATTCTATGCCTACTTATCTCGCATGGAATGCCCAGTTAATCCTCTAAGTCTTACATTGTCTGACCAAAAATAAATTATGGATATTGGAAAAGATAACATAATTTCTTCTGATTGAAAAAACAACAATTATTAAAATAAAGAAGCCTTCAAATTATGTATCATAATTTTGTTGTTTTTAGGTTGTCATGTTATGCCCCATTCTTGCATCGAGAACCTAGATTTAACAAATGACTCAAAGGTAGGAATAGATCCATTTGGCAATCAAAGATCAAAATGTATTCGTTATTAGTGAACTTCATGATTGAGAATGATTACAATTATAATTTTTTTTTTCATTTTTTTCCTATAAATTTTAGAAGGAAAAAATTTTCTTCAGAAAAATTTTTGTTACTTAATGCTGCAATCTACAGGATTTTCCTAGCATTTACGGGTAGAGATGGCTTATCACACTATCACACAGATTTTTATAAAATCCAAGTATTCATTTGAATTTCCAAAAGCTTTGAATTTATTAATATCAATATGTTTCATTTCTTGTGCTTACTTATAGTACTTTGCTTCCCTTTCTAGCAAATTGGAACTTATCTTTGAGAAGAGGATTGCACAACACCCTATTGGTGGTGCTTGTTATGCCCGTAGTGTAAAAACCATGCAAGAGAAGAGGATTGCACCTACTCATATCTGTTGTATAGACTGGCTCAATCAGAATCTGTGCCACAATGAGCACGCTTGCTTACCACCTAGATATATTCTTTTCTATTAAGTGCTGCTTCTTTACCTCTAACTAATACTTGACTACCAAACACTCTGATTACTTTACTTTGATAAATATTTTGTTACAAGTACCGTATGGTCAGCATCATCAACGATGGCATCACAAAAGCAAGAATGTTGATTGCTGATAATGTTGCTGCAACATGTTTTGGCTATAGTTGTTAGCAACTTATCTTTCACTATGGATGGAATATCAACAAGCATATCCCACGACCATTAATCAATGTCATTGATAAGTAAAAAAATTTTCAAGTCCAACGCAACAACTTTTTTGGATCGATACTAGACCACCATTTTATTATAGTTGGTGTCTTTTAAGATGGTGATGATCATAGCTGTTCTGAACCAGATTTTGAACTTACTGAAAACTAAACCCCTCTACCAATAACGTATTAAGTCATGCTTTTCCTAAGTTATTTCTACTTGAAGCATATCAATGTTCAATAACTACATTTTTTGTGTCCAGTTTTCTATGTTGTTGGAATTATACAAGGTTGGCCTATTTTTCGAAAAAAAGATTACTTGTTACATGGACTAAACATGCTATTGTCTTCCACATGTATGGGATTTTTGTTATTTTATCTACTTATTTTCCTTCAGCTGAAAATCAGCATGTCTTACAACGACACTTGGAGTTGAATGCTTTTGCCTTAAATCTAAAAAAAAAAAAAACTTATGTGTGGTTTCCTCATGTACATTTTAAGTGCAAATAATAAAAAATTTGCTAGACTAGTGGCGTAGCTAATTCAGCACCAAGAAAAAGAAAAAAACCAGTTGCCTGGTGCACACCTGCCCTAAAACCATCCTTTTGCTTTGGAACATCAGACTTTTTGCTTTCTAACAACCATTAAAAAACATAGTTGCTTCTAGTGCTCCATCTCAAAAACCTTTATTCCTCCAAAAAAGGCATGCATCACAAAAGCAACTTCTAGATTATTTACAAAAACAAAAAGGAAATTGTCATTTACTCATGCAATGATGACCAATTTTTAAAACAAGTATAATCTTTTTTAGCAGACACCATTAGTTACCAGTAGCATAGCGTATGCATAAATCTAGTTCTCTCCTCGATCTCATGGATGTGTAATCAAAATTCCACCCCATGTAATCCAGCCCCTCTCCTTGTTGTAGTCCTTTTATTAATTACATCTATTACTTTATGGAGCCCCTCCAAATTCTCCTTTTTTTCTTCCTGATTTTTGTGTCAGAGGTTTCTTGCATGTTTGAGGTACACGTTATTGAATAATCATGTGTCACATATGTTTTATTACCGACAACATCTTCCTCGCTAGTAGTAATTTCAACAAGTTTGGCATCCTCTTGTAATTTAATCTCCTCAGTTTGTAGATGCAGTTCTACAGCGCCCTCATGTAATATAGAGTTTAATAATGGTTTGTAATAGTCCTTCTGGATTCCTCTTCTCAATTTGAACTAGAGCAGCATTGATTATCTTCTCTGCATCAATAAATTTTTTTGACCAATCCTAGCTTCTAGTTTCAAAAACTGTTTTACATGGTAAAAGAAAGTATCTGACTTCTTCTACTCTACTACCATCATCCCCTTTGTAATTTCTAATGCCCCAAGTGCTTCAATTTGTTTTGAGATTCTCTCTAAATTAGAAACAATCGATCATGATTGAGTTTATAGTAAAAGACCTTATAACTAGTTTGCAACATTTTCCAATTAATTGTATCTCCTATGAAACTCAGAAAATGCTTTGGACGCATAAGTAAGCACTTATTCCAAACATATTATGTTCATTGCACTAGTTTTTAAAGCCATTAATGGTCTCAAAACACAGTCTAGTTCTCCTAGTAAATGAAAAAGAATAGTCAACTATCGTGTAATACAAAAGCCATGAATGATGAAGATCATTCGTATGAGATAGTTTGTTTGTGCATACAACAAACAATGGGATTTGTTTTGTTGTCTCGGTAGCGTTGTTACATGCTATCGTTGTCCCTTCTTTCCAAGCAATCATGAGAAGTGATAAATTTCATAGAGTAATCTATCTTGTTGGTTCGTGCATAGATTGCACATGATTTGGTCTTCCAACATTGACAGCTTATTCATAAAGATTGTCATCTTTCCAAGCTTCAATAGTTATAACATCTTTCCTCTTAAAGTCTATTGATGAATCTTTCAAGCATACAAAGGTATCATTATGTTGAGAAATGGTAAGAAAATTTGTTATCAAGTTTGTGCTCTTGGATAGTGTAGTTCTATCAATAACATTTTGCTTCTCATCTTCATGATCAACAATCTTATCATGGGTTTGAGTAGCAACATCATGCTCATACATATAAACTTCATGGATGGAAGTTTGGATGATTTTGATGCCAACAAGGCTAGTTTTATCATCCTTACTTTTGGCACCATCATTCTCATCCACTACTCTAATGAATATAGATAGCATAATAACTCATCTCAGCTATCATTGATCAAAAGCTCCATGCATCTTCATAAGCATGAGCACAATTTTTTTCTTTTTAGATCAAATGAGAAAGTATTTTTGAACCAATCATGCACAGACTTGCCTATCATATTATTATACTCTTTCTAACAAAATATGGCATGCATCCATAGAAATTACACCACATTGCATTTCATTTTGATACCTCATACCTATCAAGAATTACATACAAAACCTTTTTGTCATCATTATCTTTCTTTAACCACACTATCTTGTAAGGATCATGATGATCAACAATTGGTAAGTTGAATTTCTCTTCCATATTCATTGACACTATGTTCTCACAACTTCTTCCATCAATGATTAACTCACATACCTTATCGTAAGATATACGGGATGTATAAAAAGATGTTATGTCTTAGCCATCCATCCATGTAAACTTCATTGAAATTTAGAGCTTTTTGAATTATTAAAAACTCTTTATCATCCATATAGACCTCCTCTTTTACTTGGTTGAATCATCAACCTCCTCCATCTCTTCTACAACACTAATTACCCTTCAAATAGGAATCCAAATCAATATGACCAAATTCATAACATTTAAGACAATTTAGTGAAGTGTCGTTGGATCTTATTGTGTTTGTTTCGTTGGCACCAACAGAGCCTTCTCCTTTATCTAGACTCCATTACTAGGTTTACGAACGCTAACCAAAACTATGGAATTTGTCTACCCAACTAAGACCTTTAAGCTACCCCACCTTGAAGATAACTTAACAACATTTGTCACATAATGACCTCTCAATGATCATAAAAACATAGAATATATAAGTTGGAAAATGTGGAGTCATCACTCGGCTTGCAAAAAGGTAAAAATTAAGAAAAATCTAACACTACTCCTAAGAGCTCTAAATAAGGGAGTTCATTACATAATTGGAGAAGGGTACATTCATCCTAATGTGTCCTCATAATGAGGTTACTTTGTCTTTCTAGCTTATGGGAATTCATTCATACAAGTCAACTTGTCATCCCGATTTACGATTTGATTATTTGGACTCTTTTCTAATAATCCCAATAGAGGTGATTTGGAGACTAAAAGAAGACTCGATCTCTCACTTGATATGTCATTGGACTATTGGATCTCATTTAGAAAGGTAAAACTCGGGGCTTAAAGCCTAATACAATTTAAACGACCAAAACCCCATACAAAATTGATAAAAAAAAATAAAATGAATCCGGACCATTGGCCCAAATTCACCTACCAAACCATGAAATGAAAATGATTACAATTCCGTAATAATAATAAAAACGGACAAAGGTCCGGAGCCCATATCACCCTATCATGCTATCTTAAAATATTAAATTAGGCCTAAAGCATAAATTCAAAAATAAATCCGTGAGAAAAAAAAATTAGTAGTATCTTAAAAAAATAAATTAAAATTAACTCAAGCCATATAAACAATAAAAATAAAAAAAATAAATAATAAGAAAAAGGCCCGCCATTGAAACAAAATCGGTCTTAGGTCTTAAACCTATTCTATCTAGACTGATCTAAATTGACATCACACAAAGTGTAAGATATAAAATTAAACATGTAAAAAATCATGGATCATATAAAAATAACTTTATGGGATGAAATAGCCAATTGGCCTCCACAAGGTTTTGGGCCTATTAATTCATTACGGCTTATTTTTTAGGAAAAAAATAACTAGTTTATTGCTAGATTCATCATCGATCGATAGTTTTTTAGGAACTTATGATATAAAAAATAAAGATATTATATAACATGTCAAACAACCCTTTCTTAATAACAACAACAACAACAACAACAACAATAACTAAGGTAATAATAAATTAAAACTTAAGAACTCTTAGATCCTTAACCCAAAAAAAAAAAATTGACACACATAAACAACAATATATCCAAATCTAAAGTCTCTTAAATTTGCCTAATAATGTTAAGAGCTTTGAATTCGAATTTTTCCAATTAAATCCCAAATTAAATTATTTTAATTCAATTATTCATCCCAATATCATGTTAATTATATGATAACATCACTAGCACATGAATTAAGGAAATAATCATACAATATAAAAACTTGGATGAAAATTAAACCAAAATAAATTGAAAATGCATGGGTGCAATTGCCAAAATAAAAAATTTGGGGACTAAAATAGATGAAAGTTCACCAAATACGGCAAGACTTCAAGTGACGTATGTGGGCCGACCAGATGATCGAAATGGAGTGGTTTAACAAGCACCGCAATCATCTCAAACGGACAATTTCAATGGTTCAACATATCTAGAGATGATGGTCAAGCATTGAGCAAAAGTCATCTTATTTCTACCATCTATGCCTCCGATTTGGCTTTTTTTTTTTTTTTTTTAGTCGTTACGTTTTGGCTAGGTGTCGGTGTGTTCTCCCTTCCTTTGTATGTGTATTTGGGTGTGTGTGCAAAATATTTATAGGGATGCTTCAAGTGTTAACCTTGGAATTTTTTTTATGTTGGTTTTTCCTTTTTTATTATTAATCACGCCTAACCTAATGCCTATAATCTAGCCCAATACTCGATCTAGGCTTAGTTCCTTAATTTTTTTCTTTTTAATTTTTTATTTATTTATGTGTATCTTTATGGAGGTAAAATTAAGGTGATGACGAGTTGCCTTTTCTTTTTGATGCTTATGCATTACGGATGTTAGAAGATAACTCTTCATACATCTTGACTTAGTAAACTTGTAAAGAAGAAAAATGGCTATGAAAAAAATGAATGATAAAATCGGAGAAACTAACCTTTTACAATTGATTTGATTTTAGAAATGAATCAAATATTCAAACCATCCTAGGGTGATTTGACTTTTGAAAAGAAATACATGAATATACAAATTCTCTTGGAGTGAAGCAATCAAATGTATTATCCCTCTTGGGGAAACTTGAGTTTTAAAAAAAAACTAATCAAATATACGAACTCTCTTAGAGGTGGTTTGATTTTTAAAAAGAAAATCAATCAAATGTATGAACTCTCTAAGAGTGATTTGATTTTAGAAAAGAGAATCCATCAAATATACAAACCCTCATGGGGTGAAGAACATGTAACAAATATATGAACCCTCCTAGGGTGAAACAAATCCATCAAATTATGAACCCTCATGGAATTAAAAAAAATTCATAAAATATACAAACTCTCACAGGATGAAGAAATATATGAATCATCTTGAGATGTTGGAGTGGCTGAAATATGACTTTTTGTTTTTAAATGATCTTATTAAGAGAGAGATTGGTTATCTCAACAAGATGACTACCTAGATACTTTTGAAAAACTAGTTATCTCAATAGGATAACTACCTAAACATTTATGGAAAACTCGATCATCTCAATAGGGTGACCACCTAGACATTTTCGAAAGACTAACTTATGGAGAATTGTCTCGGAAGAGAATGTTTGCTCTTTCTCAAGTTTGAGTTTACTTTGTCTTCAATAGTGATGGACATTAGGTTCATCAAGGGTTATACTTCTATGAGAAATATAGGCCACACCTTGTAAACCATAGCTCTATATCTTAAATTTAAAGAATCATCTCATATCTCTTTTCTCGATTGCTAGTTGGCTAGAGCTTTTCAAAGAGATATTGAATTGTTGTAGTTCACGCTTGTAACTATTTTACTTTGCCAATGAGAATGTGATCCCTCTCTTTATTGTTAGAGATACTATACTTAATACATGTAAAGATTGAGTTATATGAAGGTTATGATCTTCTTCATGCCTCTTATGCTCGATCGTTGCTTTAGGATTCGATTGGTCATGTACATCTATCAAGTATTGACATAGGATGAACTATGTTTCTCCCTAGTTATGCATTGTTGTAAACCTTCAAGTTGTGATTTGCTACAATCACCAATCTACATTATGTTTATTTTGTCCTTGAAGATTATTTAGTATCATAGTTACGCCCCTCTTGTTCAGTCATAATGCCATGAATCAAATTGTTTATACGCCATCCACTCACCCCCTTATCTAGCTTAATTAAGTCACTTCATTATGATTGAACATTATAATATCGTCCTTAATTACTTATTGGTTTAACCTATTAGCTCTTATTTTCATAAATTCAAGTCGATTTAAGGAGAATCTTTATTAAAACTAATCATTTTGTTTTAAGGACCAAGTAGCAAATTTTATTAACATTCATCTTATTAGTCCAAATTATTCCAAATAAATCTTAGGGATATGCATCAACAAGTACTATCATTAGTGAATTGGTTGCTTGGCTCGTCATAAATCAAAATAGATCACTCAAATGCTAGGATGCAATCATGTTTGAGTTACAAAAGTGGATTTTAAAAAAGAATATTCTTTTAGTGTTTTTGGAAAAAGATCACAAATCTTGGTTGTTTTAAGAATAAAAAACTAAAAAAAAGAGCTCAATAATGGTTTTTGGCTTGAAATGATTGTCTTGCCTTGTCTTTTAAATATGATTTGATGCCACAAACAATGATATAGAATATGTAAGTAGATAAAAAATTATTTGCTCCTACTTTTTTAGGAAAAAACTCATCGGCCTTAATAATTCATTTTGATTAAAAATGGCTTTTAAAAGCAAGTAATATAAGTTTGGTTCTAGGGTTTTGAAGAAAATGATATATCAACTTAAAATGTGTTTAAGGGTGTGAAAGACTAAGAACTACTTCAAAACTCAAAAGAAGTTTTTGCTTGACTTTTTAGTTCTCACTAATGGTATTGTTTTCCAAAAATCTCAATTATTGACTTCAATATTCCTTCTAAATAAGGATTTTAATGAATTTTTTTGTTAATTCATGGCGAGTCTTGATTCTAGTTGCTATTATCAACAAATTTTGCTTAATTTTTTATTTTTATTTAAGAAACTATTCATCTTTATATTTCAAGCACATTTTTCCCTAATGTGAGGTGATCCTAGTCTTGGATTAGTATCATGAAAATTCATTAAGGATCAAAAAGGGACCGCAAGAAATTTTTATGATCATTTAT